GGGTTACAGGAGACCGTCGTAGCCGGAAACGGTGCTTGGGTGCCCGTTTTCACTGGCAGAGGGTTACAGGAGACCGTCGTAGCCGGAAACGGTGCTTGGGTGCCCGTTTTCACTGACAGAGCGCTTGGGCCACCACAGATGCCCCCGACACAAGTGACATTGAGCTGGCCACGCCTACTCTGGCCACACCTACCCCACCTCCCAAAGTCAAACACAACCCCATTGCAGCCCTCCATGAAATTGAATTTGACACCCCTGATTTAGTGGAAGTTCAAAGTTACAACGGTACCAAAAAAAGGGACTTGCAACCGTTTATCGCACGTAACGACCATTGCAGAATCCCCTGGGGGCGGTCTGATCAAAATTCGGGCGCTTGGCAACTCGTATTTTTGGCGGTTGCGGTGTCCTGGGGTCACGTGAGCCCCTTTTGCGACCGTCCGACGAACAAAACTAATGGGGATACCACGTTCACTTAACCTTCACAATTTGAGGGATTCACTTAACGGTGGGAAGAAAGGTCATAAAATGGGGGGTAAACTCACTGAAGGACGGTTTTGTTTAGCAAGAGAAATTTTGGGCTCCGTTGTTATGGTCATAAGTCAAGGACTACCTGTGGCTAACTTATTTCCTCTCTCCCCAAACAGTGCTGATCGCCATGTAAATTTTGTCATAATTATCGAAAGTAACAGGCTGCTTCTTAAATGAATTCCATCTCATTTTCAGACCCCTGCATATAAATTAAGTCACTTTACTTTAACACAGACTTAAAAGGTAAAGGTTCCCCTCGCACATATGTGCTTGTCGTTCCTGACTCTAGGGGGTGGTGCTCACCTCCATTTCAAAGCCGAAGAGCCAGCGCTGTCAGAAGACGTCTACGTGGTCATGTGGCCGCCATGACTCAACACCGAAGGCACATGGAACAATGTTCCCTTCCCACCAAAGGTGGTTCCTATTTTTCTACTTGCATTTTTTACGTGCTTTCGAACTGCTAAATTGGCAGAAGCTGGGACAAGTAACGGGAGCTCACTCCGTTACGCGGCGCTAGGGATTCGAACCACCGAAATGTCGAGCTTTTTGATCGACAAGCTCAACATCTTAGCCACTGAACCACCGCATCCCTAACATAGACTTATCAATCTTTATTAAAGCAGCTGTTGTGTAGTTCACAAAAATAGAACACACCTGTTTCGTTTCTTTCCAAAAAGAGCAAAAAAAATAAAATAAATAAATTCTCAAAGGCTTTGCTGAAACTAAGGAGACAAAAAAAATTCAACTTGGCTCTCTCAATTTGTAAAAAATGAGAAAGTATTAAAGGAAGAGAAATCTGGTTCGTTAAGGGGGCCGAAAATGCTCCAGTTACGCAGAACGCAGGCGGTCCTTCCACAATTGAGCCCAAAATTTCTGTCGTTAAGTGAGTTTCACCCCGTTTTGCGACCTGTCCTGCTGTAGTTGTTAAGTGAATCGCTGCAGTTGTTAAGTGAGTAAGTCAATCTGGCTCCCCCCCCCATGATTTTGCTTGTTGAAAGTTCTCGAAAGAGGGTCACCAGACCCCGGGACAGTGGAACCGTCATAAATATGAGTCAGGTGCCCAGCATCTAAATTCGGATCACCTTCCGAAGAGTTGAAATAATAATAAGGCAAAAATAAATAAATAAACCATCACCATCAAGGGTGAGTAATACAAATCATTGTGTTTTTCACGAATATCTTCCTTTTTTTGCTATATATTCATTGCGGTTGATTGCGGCTGTCATTGTGTTTAATGATAACTAGCGGCTGAAATGACTTTTTACAATAATGAAATGTTTAACACAAGGATATGTGAAGCTTCCATCCATCAGGATCTTTCCTGACGGCCGTCGAGTAAAAGACTAAAATAATAACATGAAATAATGAAAAGAATAAAAGATAAAATCAGGCTTTTTAAAATTCAAAAAGCTTAGCCCCGTGATGGCGAACCTGTGGCACGCGAGGCGTCGTCCCAGCGCACGCTCTCCCCCAACGGCCAGCTGGTTTTCAGGTCTCAGCCACGTGGGGGGGGCATGTGGGAGATGCGTCCGCATACGTGGGGGGGGGCAGGGGGCACATTGGAATTGTGCGCTCATGTGCAGAAGTTACACGCTCAATACACGGAACATATTACCATTTATGGTGGACCTGTGAGGAGGCTAAAAATTTTTGGGAAAGGGATCAAAAATTGGCTGGAGGCAATAACAGGGGTTAAAATAGAATGGATTTTAAGATTTTTTTATTAGGAATAACGTCTGCGAAATACAAAAAAGAAATCCAGTATTTAATACTACATATAATTACGGTGGCAAGG